CGGGCCGCGCTCCCGCTGCCGCCGCCGCGCTCCGCGCTCGGCCCCGCCGCCCGCACGACGATGTTTGACGGCTGCCTCCTGCCCCTCGTCGTGCCCTGCCTGCTGCTCTGCGGACTGGACGCCGGCACAGGTAGCACTCCCCGGGCTCCTGGCTGCCCTGACAAGGCGGCCCCGCGCCGCGGGTCCGGCCGCGGGCGGCAGCGTGCGGGCGCGGGGCGCGCACCGCATCCCCTGCCTGCGGGATGAATCGCTCCGGGCTTTTCTATTTTCTTTTCCTGTCCTCCCGCTGCTGCCGCTGCTGCCGGAGCGTTCCATGTGGAAAGCTGCTGACTGTCCTTGGCTGCGTCTGCGGCTCGCTCTGCTTTTCCCCTTCTCCCTGCAGATTTTTATTGGGGTTGGTGAAATGCGATGCTTGTGTCTGAGCTATATATATATATATTTTTAACGATACAAGTAGCTTTAGCGTTTGCTTTATTGCTCTCCTCCCTGCACGTTTCTGTCTCTAATATGTGTGTATATAGAGAGAAATAAACTCCTCTGCTCCGCCGGCCCCATTGTCTCCGCAGCCCGTTCGCAGTTTCCAGCGCTGAAACCCGAGCGCGGGGCTGTCCCGGTTCTGTGCGGGGGTCCCGGGGGCTCGGAACCCCCTGTTCGCCCCGTCGGGGTGCGAGCGCCTGAGCCTGTCTCCTTCTCGCCTGCAGCTGGCGGAGCGGAGCTGGAAGTGGTGATCCCGGAGCGAGTGCCGCTGGAGAAGATCCACCTGCTGCCGCCCGGAGGGGATCGCGGCGGCCCCCGGCGCCGGCGGGCGCTGCCGCGGCCGGAGGAGGAGGAGGCTGTGCTGCTCCGCCTGCCCGCCGCCGGCGCCGAGCTGTACCTGCACCTCCGCCGCGACCTGCGATTCCTGGCCCGGGACTTCGCGGTGGAGCAGCGGCGCGGGGAGGAGCGGCGGCCCCCGCGGGAGCGGCTCTGCTTCTACACGGGACACGCGCTGAACCGCAGCGACTCCTTCGCCTCCCTCAGCACCTGCGCAGGGCTGGTACTGACACCCCGCCCCGCTCCCCTCCGCCGGGCTGGTGCTGCCATCCCGCCCCGATCCCCCCGGTGCAGGCAGCCT